CTCCCCTATAGAGGAGATAATTCAAAATATAATTGAGTTACCTCCCTTGTCTTCCAGTCGGAGCGCAGCATTTCCAAATTCAACATGGTGACAAGTTGACGAAAAATGTGCAGAAATAGAAAGATTGAGTACTACCAACAAAAGAGACATACACAAACAAATAAGACAACTAACAGGACAGAAGACATGCTCGTCAACAGGTTGCCTAAAATCAAAAGATGGAACGATCATATTAGAGAAAGAAAAGTTCTTCAAAGATGGAGTCAGTATATTGAAGAAGTCTTCCACGACGTAAGGCAATACACAGAACTACCGACGGACCTGGAATTCTGAAAACCGAAGTAAAAGCCGCATTGCCCAAATTGAACAGAAACAAGGCAGCTGGGCCAGACGGAATTGTAACGGAAATGCTGACAGCCTTAGATGACTTTGGCATAAACAAGCTGACCGAAATAACAAATGAAATCTAAACCAGCGGGAATATGCCGGAAGACCTCAGCAGATCTATCTTCGTAGCTTTGCCTAAGAAAACCGGCACAAACGAAAGCGAACCACCGAAAAATAAGCCTAATGAGCCACGTAACAAAACTCATCATTCGTATTCTGTTGAACAGAGCGCGCACCAGAATCAGTCCACCGATAGGACGAGAACAGTGTGGGTTCGTTAAAGACAGCGGAACAAGGAACGCGATATTCACGCTCAGAATGTTATCAGAAAGAACGATACAGACGCAGAAGGACGTGGACCTATGTTTCATAGACTACGCAAAGGACTTCGACAAAGTACGCTACAAGGATCTGATGGAACTACTCAACAAACTTCATATATTCGGGAAAGATATCAGATTAATCAATAACCTATGTTGATAGTAAACAGCATGAATGCGCATAGAGAACGAGTTCAGTAAATATACGAAGATAGAAAGGTGTGTAAGGCAAGGATGCGTCTTCTCACCCGACTTGTTCAACCTATACAGCGAGGCAATGGTGAGAGAATTGGAAAACCTACCGGCAATTTAGCATTGGCGGCCACAATCTTAACAACATAAGATACGCAGATGACAGTACTTATAGCAGACACGGAAAACAAATTACAAAACCTCCTACGGAAGAGTTGAGAGTGAGAAGATGGTACTAAGCATAAACTACAAGAAAACTGAATGCATAGTCATTAATAAGAGAATAAGCACCAAATGCGGTTTGAAGGTCGGGAATACTAGAATCAAGCAAACCCATAAGTTTAAAGATCTGGGAAGCGTATTGACAGTGGACGGTAAATGTGACACTGAGATCCGTAGACGTATTAGGATGGCCAAGGACACATTCCAATATCTTGAAAAAGATTCTTTGATTCTTTGGGAATACTGAACTGTTACGTGACATCTGTCCTTCTTTATGGCAGAGAATGTTGGACGATTTCCTCAAAGATGAAGAAGAAACTCGAAGATGTAGTTCTATAGAAGGATGCTAAGGATATCATGGACCCAGCGTGCGAGCAACGATAAGGTCTTAGAGAGGTTGCAAACAAGGAGGAGGCTTATACTTAACATCATGAAGAGGCAGCTGAATTTTCTGGGACACATAATGAGGAAGGAAGGCCTGGAGAACCTGATACTCACGGATCGAATAGAGGGAAAGAGAGACAAGGGAAAACAATGCGTGACATAACTGCGGCTTTAAGCAAGTGGATGACAGAACGTGGTGTGGTGGAGGAAGCAGAGGGAAGGAACTTGTTGAGAGCTGCAAGGGATAGAAGGAGGTGTAGAGCCATGATCGCCTACGTACTGAAAGGATATGGCACATAAAAAGAAAAAAAATAGATTGCTTTGTACGCATCTATTGTAAATATCTATAAGAATTCAGCTACATTTCTTGTACTTTAGTGAATGCTTTATCTCGCTTTTCATCATTTATATGTACCATTACTCAATGATAAGAATGTGCCAGCATTTTCTGCTTTGGCCAATTTAACTGTCTCCGTTCTGCTCTTCATGTCGAATTCGCCTTGTGTAGTTGTGTTCAGTTACCACTAGTTCTCTTCCTACCGATTCTCTGACTTCAATCCCTGGCTCGTGTAGCATAGCAGAAAACTATTCATGATATATCCTTAAAACTTGGGACTACAACAAGAATCGCTATGACCAAATCGACATTTTCTTTCACTGAAAACAGCGCATAGCCTACATAATTTGAAGGGATGTCAGAACAGAATTTAAGAGAAATAGCTAAAAATTTGAAAAAAAAAAAAGGAGATTAATAAGAGCTACAAAAATAGAGGATTAAGAAGCAACATCACCAAAACGCTATGACTTCTTCTTTATGCTGTACCTCTCCAGAACACTAACGATCATGGCTCTTCACAATTTCCTGATTTTCTAGCTCTTAGTAAATTTTGTATTTTTACTATCTCTCCTAAAGTAGGTTAGGTAAGTTATGCGCTGTTTTCCCCTGTTCTTCTTGACTTCAATAACTCTTGTGAGTGTTATACTTTCCAAACCACCTTTCCCAAATATATGAAGGTTACCTAGAAGTTGCAACAGTTCCCTGTGACGTACTTTATCAAACGCTTTTGCATAATCTATAAAACATATGTATAGATCTTTTTTACGTGGAGTCAACGTAAATAAAGGCTCGGAATGAGCAGAGTTCGAATTCCAGTCGAGTTCGTTACATTCACTTACGCGCAAATACACTTAGGGAAGTTATAAATCCATTTCTTCACCTCCCAGCTGTGGGTTTAAAAGCAGGGTAGACTTAACTGACTAATTGCTCTTTCTGATCGGTGGAGTAATGGGTAGCGGCTCGGATTGAGGAATCGGAGAGCGGAGTTCGAATTCCAGTCGAATCCATTACATTCACTTACGTGCTAATACCCTTCTTCTCCAGCTATCGGTAAATAGCAGGACAGACCGGGTTCTATAGTCTTGGATAGCAGCTGGACTACCGCAAAAAATAAATACAACCAACAGCATGAAAAACCTGTCTCGTCAGTCATATATCGAAAGATACATGATCGTCTAAGCGTGTATCACGCATGGCAATATAAATTAGCAGGACAGACCGGGTTCTATAGTCTTGAATAACAACTGGTCTACCGCAAAAAGAAATGGCAACCAACTACATGAAAAACTTGTCTCGTCAGTCATATATCGAAAGATACATGATCGCCTAAGCGTGTATCACGCATGGCAATATAAATTAGCAGGAAAGACCGGGTTCTATAGCCTTGGATGGCAACTGGTCTACCGCAGAAAGAAATGGCAACTTACTGCGGGAAAAATCTGCCTCGTCAGTCATATATTGAAAGATACATGATCGCCTAAGCGTGTATCACTCATGGCAAATAACTAACTGACTGATATAATTGTGAGCATAAAGATTGCATTTCTTGTTCCGGTGTCTTTAATGAACCTGTAAAATTCTTGACCTATTTTCGGTCTAATTCTGCTTTCTCTATCCATCAGAATTCGAATGATAAGTTTTGTTATGTGACTCATGAGGTGGATTGTCCGATGGAGTTCACATCATAGACATTCATTTTAGTCTTAATATCTTATGGAAAAATTAAAATATGTAGTGAGAGCCATGAGATTTTAAAGGTATACAACATAATGGCGATACGAGTCTGTGAGTTACCATTACCCCCTAGATCAGAATACATTTGCCGACTTGTAAAATATGCTATATATTAAAATAACTTTACCCGTGTTCACTGAAGTGTAAACAGATATTTTAAAATAAAGACAACTTTAATATCTTAAGATTACAGCATCGTTTCGATTTATTTTCGGGAATTAAAAAATATTTTAAAGGAAAGTTTCAAATTCTAGTTAATTAAATCCTGTTAATAGTGTTAGACTTTTATAGTTTCCTTTTATTAAGGAAAATTTTAATTTGGTTTTATTTTATGCAGAATTTATGCCAACTATTAAAAAAATGTATTTTTAAAGCCCAATGCTGTCATTTTGCTTTTGCAAATTTTAATTTTTGTAATATGCTTTTCGGAGACATTAACCGACTTAAAAATATTCTGCCTTTATTCATATCAGCTTCAAAGCCAAATACGTTGACTTTTATGCCAAATAGCTATTTCATTAGGGTAATTAATGCGCAGGCGTGATCATTGGTCATCAGAAATGGTACTCGTGGCAACTGCGGCCATAACGTCCATAATACAACATATTTCAAAATACTGACTTTCATTGAATGCCTTCTTTTTTCTCACTAACGTTGTTGTTCTTCTTCTTCTAATATTATTATTATTATTATTATTATTATTATTATTATTATTCTCGTTCCGTTTCTTTCCATTCTTGAGTTTCTTTGCCTTCTCCCTCTTCCTATTTCTTATCTTTCCTTTTTTCTCACCCAATTCTTTCTTTCTTCATCATTTCCCTTTCTATTCATTGCCTTCATCTTTCTTCTCCATGCCCTCTTCCCCTTTCTCTTACTTCCCTTTTCTTTATCTCTCTAATGACTCAACCTATAGATGGGGGTGTATTTTCATATCTTTCCCAAATCCATTTGCGTATTAATGGATATAAAGAACTCAAATGGAATTAGAACACGACTGAGCAAATTAACCTATAGATGGGGTGTAAGAGGTGGATTCATACCTTTCCCAAATCCATTTGCGTATTAGTGGATCAAATGGAATTAGAACTTAATTAACCTAATGGAATTAGATTCATATCTTTTCCCAAATCCATTTGCGTATTAGTGGATATAAAAAACTAAATTAAACAAGACTATAGATGGGGGTGTAAGAGGTGGATTCATATCTTTCCCAAATCCATTTGCGTATTAGTGGATATAAAGAACTCAAATGGAATTAGAACAAGACTGAGCTAATTAACCTATAGATGGGGGTGTAAGAGGTGGATTCATATCTTTCCCAAATCCATTTGCGTATTAGTGGATATAAAGAACTCAAATGGAATTAGAACTCGGCCCTTCTAATCCCGAGCCCTTATCCATTACACCACCCGTACATCCACGGTTACAACACCTGGTATTGCCCTGTGGTCACCCTTCATCTACGTACTGATCTGGCTCGACGTTGTTTAACTTCGGTGATCGTATGAGAATCGGTGTTACCCGGTTACATGGCCGTAACCATTCGTTCCGAGTAGGCCGAATAATTTTGCTGATATCGAGTATTTAACAAAGTGCTGTTTAAAAAGTTGTCAGCTATCTGTAACCATGTGTTCCCGATTGAAGATTAGAACTATTACCTAGCACATCACTGATTTTATACAATGAATGCGCAATCACCTTCCGTTCTTTTTTTAATTCTCTGCTTGTGTACAATTTGGTAAATTCCTTTAATGGAAACTAAACATCGAGATTCGAGTTTGGAACAGTTACAAAATAGATAAAGCACCCGGTAAGAATCGAAATCAATGCTGAACCGGGCCTATTTATTTTGATCGTGGAGTTGGGGTTGGTATGCTGGCCATTCTAATTTGGCACTACGGTAGGTGCTCTTGTTTTAGGATCTAAATCAGAAAAGAAAAAAATACTTGTTCACAAACTGTCTTTGTCTCCTGCTGTTTCGATGAAATTATTAACAGGGAATGAATGAATAATGGTGTTTTAAATTCAGATTCACTTCATCTTGGGATGGACAAAGACACACAGAAATTGTATTGACCTACAGGGGCCATCTTTGGGAGGGTAAAAAAATAATAAAAGATCTAATCCATTATTCTTTTTTTTTTATATCCCTTTAAGGGGTTAACGTCAAACGAATCAGATATATGAAAAAGAATGGTGACACGTTACTATAGACGAAAGTAGGATGCCTGCTTCCAGTTCATCTGCATTAACCTATTGGACAGAAATCGATAATATATTATCAATTTTTTCTTTTCTGTTTTTGCCTTAATTGATTTTAGCCAAAGATAGAATTATAACTCTCCTCTCAATAGAAATACATAGATATCATATTACCATTATTAGAATGTTTGGTTGAAAAGAACAACGGAATTTAGTTTCTTCTGGCAATATGTCAGGAATAAACAATTTAAGACGGCGTTTGATTTGCCTTGCAGTGGATGTTTTACTGGGTTTTACCCTATTCGATCTCCTTTAGAACGTTTACTTAAAAATTCGAAATATGTACTTCGTATATGGCACTAGACACTCAAGTCCCGTAAACTCCAGTGGGTAGCATGTGGCCACAGATCTCAGCAACCTATTGCCCTAGCTACCGTGATTCCCGTATCAAGTAGGTTTTTACAGGATGAAATTTCTAGCCCTGTGCCTGACCTTGTTTTCAATTCACAGTTTTTCTCCTCCTCCTTTTGCCAATCACCGCTAAAGAGCCTAGCCTGCTTTGCAAATTAATCTATAACTGGAGGAGAAAAGATGGATTCATTACTTTTCCAAGAGTAATTGTACTTATGTGAATCTAATGTAATCGACTGGGACTCGAACTCGGCTGTCATTAGTCAAATCTCGGTATTGAAAATCATGTTGGAAATAAGAAATACGAATTCTAAATTAGGGAGACGCTGGTTTTGAAAACGTAAATAAACAAAGAAGGGGCGTAATCATATCAAGAGGGACAACTCTCTATAATTTAATAAACCTAATTATTATACCATGATAAAATAATATAGAATTACTAATAATAATATAATACTAACCTAATTAATATACAATAATATAAACAATAAACAATAGAATAATATAGAATAATATACAACAATAAACAAAATAATATAGAATAATATACAACAATAAACAATAGAATAATATAGAATAAAATGATTATCAATCTTAAAAGGTAATCTAAGCTTAAATTCAAAATTAAACTACAGCTCTTTTAAAATTTTGTAACTCCAATAATATTCCACCCCAACAATAATATATCTCGTGCGATCGAGAAAAATAAAAAAAAACGTGTGTCGACCCAACATGTAAATAGAAATAAAAAAAAAATATTATAATTCCATCACTTGAAAATTGCCTCATGAAACTCCGAGTTATTACAATTAATGTAAGATATTATGTATATTGCTTAATATATATATATATATATATATATATATATATATATATATATATATATATATATGTGTGTGTGTGTGTGTGTGTGTGTGTGTGTGTGTGTGTAAAATGAACATTAAAGTCAACACTCAGAGTATTTTGGCTTACATACATTACATCATGTGTGACATTATGAACTGCAATGTGATACGTTGCTTCCTGCGTTTCATATGCACGAATTTATCGTTGCATATCAATCTTCCATGCAAACAAAACAAACTATCGTTGTTGCAATATCCGCGTAACAATTCTAAAAAAAAATTAACATCTTTGTTATATAATTCATTATTTAATTTATTGTAATGTACTTGTAATTTCTGATGACGGCTTATGTAAGCCGAAAGCTTTGACAAAATTAACAATAAAAACAGGTATCATCATAGTGATATTCTTTCGTGTTTCAGTGACAATGATAAAAATATTATTCGTCAATATGAAAGGAATTTAATTAAAATAGACAAAACTTGTCTATATTATTTAATGAAACATGCATTAATGAAAAAATACAGCCCTAAATACACAAATCCAATATATATATATATATATATATATATATATATATATATATATATATATATATATATATATCATTGGATATAGCAGGCAAGACAGATTGAATTAATTCTTTATTTAGTTTTCCCAGCATTCCTAAATTTTTTTCCGTTTTGTAGTAGTACGGGGTTTAAAAAAAAAATCATAATTTTCATTATCCCAAGCACTTTCGACTACTCACTTAGCAATCTTCAAAACATAAGGATGCTAGAAAAAGTAAATAAAAAAATATATTAAATTTTCCTTAACTGACATATTTAATGAAAGATACTTAAAAGAGAGGTTGCTGCCGAAATATATATGCCAGTATTCCACTGAGCCGTGAGTCCATCGATAGCCTTGTTTTGATCTATTGATGAGATCGCCGTAATTTTAAGTCAAAAATCAAAGACATTAGTTCCATTTCATCCTCAAGCGAATTCGCTTGAGGATGAAACGAAAGTAATGTCTTTAATTTAATTACAAAATCAAATTCGAAGCTTTTAGCTTCCATTTTTGAAACATGGTTAGAACTGTGTAGCGAAAAGCCATATTTTAAATCAGTTAATTTACATTGAACAGTATTTTTAAAAAATAAAAATATCTATAAGAACTGTTCACTATTCATATATATATATATATATATATATATATATATATATATATAATTTATTTATAAACCATGGGAGGTCTCTTATTCGTTCAAATCAGTTTCGTCCTTTTATACTTAAGACTAACACAAGTTTACTAAATTTAAGGTTATTTTATCAATTAATTCTTCGTACAACGTCACTAGAAATGTCTTACGGCCATATCACGTTGAAACACTAGTTTTCGTACGATCACCGATGTAAAGCAACGATATGTCTGTTCAGTATCTAGATGGGTGAGCGCTTGGGAATACCAGAGGCTGTAAGCTTCGACGTGCGGGACGTGTAATGGTTCGTAATTTATTAATCGGAGAGCGGAGTTTTAATCCCATATTCGGTTACGTGCAAATACACTTGAGAAAGGTTTGAATCCGCTTATTCTTCCTCCAGCTATGGATTAATTAATAAAACTTGTATTACCGAGTAATTATTAGCTAAAAAAAAATGTACAATAAAAATATATTTTTTGGCTTCAAATCACCTTTAAAGTGTGGATAAGCTGTAAAAAAGGACTAAATCAATCTTTCAAAGTGACAAAGAAAATACTGGGGAAAAATTATTTCTCTATCTGAAAATTGAAATGATTGACACAGATCGATCCTCACCGGGTGCTAAATTACATTTGGTTGCGCTAAACTAATTTTTTGCGGGCATCTGCTATAGCAAGAATGATTGCCATGGTCAATAATCGATTAATAATGAAACTTTGATCAACTGTCGGTGTCATCTCTACTGTGACATTACACAACTGGTCTAGTCTGTCTAAATGATTTAGTAGAGTTTTCGATTTCAGCTCCTGGTGGGAGGAGGAAGAGGAGTCTTTCATGAACATTTCGGAAGGCTACCAATCAGTCTTGCACAGACGAAATAAATTTTATTTAATTATCCGTCATACCAAAAGGTGTTGACACAATGTCCGTTAGCTGAGGACGGAAATCATTTCTTATCAAAGTTAAAAACTTCAAATTGATCTTCAACAGTCGAATTGAGCGTCTTATCATTTGAGGCAGTAAGCAATTAACCTTATCAAATGGATCAGATCGAATCGATTGAGTGTTCTATTGTTACTTAGAGAATAAAGATGCTTAAGTGCCCAAGATGTCCAGTTCTCTCGCGATGTTCGGGAGAGTGGCGTGTTCCTGGGAGTTGTAGAAGTGCAGACGTCAGTGACCGTCATATTCGTTACGATTATTACACACCAGGAAAAGAATGAGAACGGATTTCTATACGTCGAATTATAAGTGTCTGTCGAGTATTCTTGATAACAGATATTTGAAAGTTAATTAACGGAGAGCTAAATTGGTTGAGTGATATACGAGAAAATGAAGAGAATAGAAAACAAATGGCCAACGAATCTTCCTTTATATAAAAAAAGAACTATTCTAGCCACGCTGTCGAAAAAGGACAGCCATATTTAAAATAATTTTGAATTGTATTAATTATATTATTTCCTGTATTACCTAGGATTTCCCTTTACAAAATTCCTGTGTATGATGATAAACTACATTCGGCAGCAAGGTCTTTGAGGAGGTTTTGCGGTGCGTGGAACAAGCTCTTAATTGCTGCTATTTCCAGGTCCACCCTTACCCTGGGGGTTAGCACCTTTTAGGGTCGCAAATATGAGGAAATAGTTAACATCCACGCTAGGTTCAAAACACTATAAAAGTAAAAGCACAAATTTTTATAGTAAAAATCCAAGCACTACATTTTCATAATAACATTTCTCATAAAAAAAAATAAAAATATCTCTACAAAAACATTTTAAAAATAAAGAACATATTACCAGCAATCTATTTTTTGAAGAATATATATATATATTACCAGAAAAACCTATTTGTAAAATATGAAAAAAAAATATTACAGGAATATATTTTTGTTAAAAATAAAAAAATTACCGTGAATGATTTTTTGACAAGAAATATTACCAGCAATGAATTATGGGATAAATATTAACAGCAATTCATTTTTGTATGAAAAAAAGATATATTACCTGTAATACGTTCGGACACCTTGGAATGGTGTAATGCTTAGCAAGCTTGTCTCAGTCTCAGTAAAGCAGTTATGAATAAATAGTGAAATCGATCCTCACTGGGTAACCAATACTTTCGGCATAGTGCCACATCTAAGCTACGCTTGGAAGTTCGCTACCAACAATACGTTTTTATTAAAAAAAAAAAAAAAAGTTACCCTCTATGCATTTTGGGAAAAGAAATTACTAATTTTCCAAGAAAATTAAATTTCGGCATTAAATAACTCAATGGGTTGATATACCGTAAAACAAAGCAAACCACCCCAAATTTACAAAATTAACATTGTTGTTACCGGTAAGAATATAAAAATGTCACCCAATAATGGGAATGATACAATAGTAAATATTTTGTTCCACTCATAAAAACTACCCCGAACCAAACGAGAGTGCTTAAGTAAACACATTCACTCTTAAAAAATAAGGAAACCTTTTGGAAAACATTTTTATAAATTATCATTCATTAGACTTTTCCCAAAATGAGAAATTTGAGAAGGTAGTTCTTTTCATAATATCGATGCAATGTATAACCAATCCCTGACTTTTTAGAGAGTTATCTGAACCAAACTGTTCTCCGTACAAAACAACAACAACAACAAAAAAAAACAGATCATTTGTTATAAAGTATTCTTTACATAAAGAACAATAAATGAAAGAACAAAAATTTATGTAAATGAATAAAAGTAAAGACAAGTGTGGGCAAAAATACCTCCCTCATATACCTCCCTCATGTACCTCCCAGAAATACCTCCCAGAAATACCTCGCAGAAATACCTCCCTCATATAACTCCCAGGAATACCTCCCATATATACCTCCCAGAAATACCTCGCAGAAATACCTCCCTCATATAAATCCCAGGAATACCTTCCTCATATACCTCTCAGAAATGCCTTCCTCATATATCTCCCAGAAATACCTTCCACATATACCTCCCAGAAATACCTCGCAGAAATATCTCCCTCATATATCTCTCAGAAAAACCTCCCACATATATCTCCCAGAAATACCTCCCACATATAACTCCCAGAAATAACTCTCCTATACCTCCCAGAAATACCTCCCACATATACCTCCCACATATACCTCCCAGAAATACCTACCACATATACCTCCCAGGAATACCTCCCTCATATAGCTCCCAGAAATACCTACCACATATACCTCTCAGAAATACCTCCCACATAATGATAAGATATTATGGCAGCCATACTCCATGCAAGGGCGAATGGTTGATTTGTATATTTGAAGTATCGATTCCGGGGAGAAAAATTTCCTGACGCGGCACAGAGAGCCAACTTTATTCGCGGTGGACGAAGCAATTGACTCAATGTATTTGTTCCATCTCGGGTCAGCAGTCAACATGAGACCGAGCAGACGCAGAGAGTTGCTCTCAAGAAGTTGACTATCAAACATTCTAATGGGGGAGGGGGGCAGGGAAGGATCTCTATAATTTTTGTTCATCATTTTCAGCATAAATCTTTAACAATTTCTCCTTTTGTTTCCTTAGGTCGTATATGGTTGTTATTCCAATGCCAAATTCCTCAGTCATATGCTTCACACTTACACACGTGTCTAGTTTTTCCAAGAGTTTGACTTTCTGTGCTATTGATTATCATAAATGTTTTTTTTCTTCTTCTTTTCATTCCCCATACGGATATCTGCAGGACTTTTTGAACATTTTGAATAATATATTTACTGAGCACAAAACAGGTGGTAAGTAATCCACGAACAAAGACGTTGTTGTGACGATCGCTAACAAAAATAAAACTGACGCTAACGTAGGTACGTATCTGGGCTGGGGGAACCCCCAACCATGGCAGATGAGGCCACTACCACAGCTGCTTATCACCTAGCAACCCTTCCATTGCCTTCTGAACTTTTCCATTTGTGGCAAGTCTTGTCAGCACCTGAAAAAGTTTGGGGTTTGGAGGTTTTTATGATTTTGGAATTTCGGATAAAGGATACTCAACCTGTATTAACGATCTTCCTAAGAGCCTACTCTGATTATTATAGATTACATATGCCAATGATACAGCAGTTTATAGGTGCACGTCCAAAAACTCGAAAGACAAGAGCCTATCAGTTTATCTCTCTTCTGACCGAGTCAAGGTGACTGGCTTGTTAGTAACGTTAAGCACCCCTGAAAAAACCCTGAACAGACATGAATTAAAATATTTTTAATTTAAAGACAGACAAAAAGAGATCCCGATTTGCTGTTTAGTCCAGTTGTTTGTCGAATAATTATTTATATTTCAGCTTTCTTTAAACAAACAATATTTTAAATATTTAAAAATAGTTTATGCCACATTTAAAAACATTTTCAACTGAATATGATTTGAATATATTTTTTAGCATATTAAAAATATTTTTAAGTTATTCTCACACTTCCCGTCCGACTGAGGTGCGCATTGTTGTATCCCTTCGCGGACAGAGGCATCTAGGCGGACGACACTACTATTTACTCCTGCCTCAAATACAAATCCTGTGTCGCTGACAAAACTAACCTGGCCGTTTGTCTACAAAAGGACCTCTAATTGGTTGTGGACTGGGGCAGGAATTTGCTGGTTAACTTTAATGCCTCAAAAACAAAACTGCTATCTATTACTCACCACAGAGAACCCCCCCCATTAGAACGTCTGACGCTCAACTCCACGAGAGCACCCCTTTGCGACTGATCGGTCTCACATTGACTGCTGACCTGAGATAAAACAAATACAGTAGCGTCCAAAACTAAGGGACAAAATTTTAAAACCTAATATTTGTTAGAAATAACAACTGTGAAAAGCTGAAATTTTGACATCTGGTAGTCGTTATCATCCATAATAACATACTAAAATTTGAATCATTTGCAAAGGATAGAAAAAAAATTATAAAAATTATTTATTTATTTTCAAATTTGGAACGTCCAAAAGTAAGGGACAAAATTGAGGAAAAACAATGTAAACAGCAAAAAAAACAATAAAAATACATGTACAATCAATATTTAGTAAATGAGCCCTTGCTCTCAATGACAGCTGCACATCTTCGGCTACAAGAACGAATCAGTTCTTGACAATCCTCGATACTAATTTTAGACCATTCTTCTTGAAGCTTCACCCACAAATCCTCCGTGTTAGTGGGATTTCTTTCCATAACTTTCGCTCCTAAAGTCTTCCAAAGATTTTCTATTGGATTTAAGTCATGACTTTGCGGTGGCCAATCCATAATTTCCAAATCTTGCTCGCTAAGGTTACTCATTAC